TCAAACGCCAGACCTCCCCGCCTCCCCCAATCTTCATAAAAGGGGAGACGGAGCATTTTGTCGAGGACATCCTTGACTCCAAGCCCAAGAAGGGACGACCGGAGGAAGTGGAATACCTCGTAAAATGGGAAGGGTATAACGACGAGTTCAACTCCTGGGTAGGATGGGAAGGTATGGTGGGCTCGATTGAGCTCCTACGTAGCTGGCACAAACACCACCCGAGGAAACGCCAGCCTTCACGTCTGCAATGGGCTTCGTTGGAACGGGAAGCACGAGAAGATGAGGAGGAGGACCGGGAAGGTAGAAGGGAATAGAGGGGTGGGACGAGGGCAATGAAGACACGACGGGGACGACAACCCCATGTTCACGACTATCTAACGACAACCTGCACATTGGAGGGCTCACGGAACCTGAATGCATGACGATTTCTCACTTATTGATTTTCACAACAGTACCAAGAACATTCTCATTAGTTAACAAAAAACAAAAAAAAAAAAAAAGGAGAGAGAAAAACAGACAGGCGTAAGGTATAAGAACACAAAATTACAACAAGGAGGCAGGGTGACAAAAGGCCTACACGAGGAATGGGAAGACGCTACAATGGTTCTTCCTTAACAACACTCTGAACCGCCACCGAATCAACAACTTCCCTTGACATAGAAACGCGAGCCATACGAGACTCCTCCGTCTCATACAAATCGTCATCGTCGCCAGTAAGGTCGATGGTTAGATTGGCGAGAGATGCGAAAGGAGGAGGCAGAGTGGGGGACGTAGGAGGAGGGTAAGGAGAGGTCGGAGACTCCTGCTCAGGCAAAAACAGAGGGGGCGCCTCAGGAAGCTGCTCGACAGTTACTTCGGCCAATGACTCAGTACCAGGCTCCACCGACGACATGGGAACTTGGGTATCCGTGCCAGACAAGGGAACGTCCGTGATGTGATGGATGTAGCGCAACATCAACTGCTCCCACTCCACAGTCAGCTGGTCGACACTGGGAAGGGCAGGAACGAGATCATCCCACCTCCCAACGCCGTCGCTATGAGGGAGAGCTGTGGACAGTGCCAACATTCGCCTGTGAAGAGGAGGTTCGAGGGAGTTATCGGGGGGAGGGGCAAAACCCGCATGCTGAGCAGCCGTCAGGAAAGGACTGTCGTTGTCGAATCGGGAGTGTTCCAATACCAGGCGATAGAGACCCTCGTCCTCGTCCACAGCGTTGTTAAAGAACCATTGGATGCTGCTAATGGACCGGATATAGAGATCCCCATGGACACCCCGAGCCGCCTGCATGTAATCCAACGCCAAATGTAAGTTGTGGGTAGCAATATCAGGGTCTTCAGACTCCAGCCCACGACGGAGGAAGGCGACCACAGCTTCGATAATCGCCCCAATATAACGGTGGTGGTGGTGAAGGACGGTCGCGGGGTCGGAACAATGAAGGCGGTGAGCAAGAGTAGCAACACGGCGGAGGTCCTCGCAAGCCTTGTTAAGATCACCTTCGAGCTGCGAAAGGGGAGGCAGGACAACTTCGTAATAACCCTCATCAGGGTACTCCTTGACCATTTGCTCAACAAAAGCGGCACGATCGCGGGCACGATGGACCTCCTCTTGCACTTCTTCCACCAGGCGACGCTGACGTGTTGCTAAAGCATTGGACTCGTCAACACGACCTTGTTGGTACAGCAGGGTGGTCGTCAACTGTGAACTCTTGCGAGTAGAGGAGGACAACTTCTCCTCCGCGACCTTGCGCTCTCTAACAGCATCTCGAAGGTCCCCTTCCATTTTTCGGAAACGCTCCAAAATACTCTGAGGAGAAGAAATCAACTATGGCTTAAAAGGGAAAGAGAAGACTAAGTACTCACTTGACCAGGGGTCCCTGGTAAGGCTCCATCCAAAGCAACGAACTGATCCAACACGCGTCGGTACTCCGTTTCGTGCTCCAGGACCTCATGGCGAGAAGACCGCAACTGCTCTACTTCTCGTTGTCGAGATTCGAGAGCATGAGAGGTATCGCGAAGGGCAGAGGTGAGGGAGGAATTCTCCCGCTGAGAATCAGCCAGCTGAGACTCCAGTAACCGAACGCGAGCCGCGAGACGTTGATTTTCAGCCCGGTAGGGATGAGCAGCAAGAGCGCGCGGAACCAGGGTGGGACGAGAAGCAGGAGGCATATTGGAGGAAAGGAGGTTCGGTCCTGCTCCCTTTATAGAGGGGGGAACAACGGGTTGCTGAACCAAACCAGACTGAGCTTCAGCAACAGCCGCCAATCGAACCAAATTGCTGTGACCCTGCACTGGCAGGTCCCCGCCGGATACCTCCATTAAGGAAGGAGAGGCGCGAGGGGGGGGTGGAGTGGAAGTGGAAGCTGCCACCGACCGACTGGGAGGAACCACCAGTCGGACACGAAGGGGAGCCTCTTGAACTACCTCCTCCTCAGGGGACCTACGACGGGAACGCTTCTTGGAAGCGTCCTGCCGAACCCTTTTGACGGAAGGACCCGCCACAGGCATCGGAGAACGGTCGCGCTTACGTTTAGCGGCGACTACTGCTTCACCCTGTTGCAAGGCGAGGAAATCCTGCAACTCTTGCTGATCAGCATCAGCAGCATCCTGCTCGTCAAGCATGTTCAATTCGAGGAGGGCGGAGGTTGAAGAGGTGCGAGCATGGAGGGCAACGTCGTACTGACGCCAGACACTCAGAGGAATACCCCACGTTGATTTATGAGCAGGAGTTCCGTGGAGCTCCAAAAACCTACGACTATATGCGAGATCCTGGTTGCAGCGACAAGCAAAGTACCGATACCGGAGGATCTTCCCCAGGCTACAAGTCTTTTTCGCAGAACAGTTTGTGCATCGAGGGGAGTTCGGTAAAACCTTGCATTTACCCGGGGATTTCGAACAATTAGAGCAAGGGGAAGCTACCTCGGCCAAAAGAGGCCACAAAGGATCATCTTGACAGTAACTCGACAGCGGCTTGCCAGTATTAAAGACTGTTTCGAACAGTTGAACTTGTGGCCGAGACGGGAACTCGATGGTAAAAGCCAGTTGGTCCTGCTCGACCTCCCCATCGGAGTCAGGACCCGGAGAAGGTACTTCCCCCAAAGTGGTAAGGTGGGGCAACTGAGGAGATCGAATGCGCGATCTGGAGCGCCGATTTGGAGTAGACATTGCAGTTGAAGGAGTTTTGACTCGTAAAACTGAGATGGGGGAAGAGGGAAAAGAAAGCAGATATCTGATGGACTTCAAACAAGAAAATTTTCGGGTACCACGTGAATGTCAGGTGACCTTCCAAGAAACGCGAAAACCCATCGCGAGGGCGCGAAGGGGTTACAAGGGGGGGTAATGTCATGCCCTGACCATAACCAGACCAGCACCAGCATCAGCCCACACGTTCTCACATTCCCGACTCTCCTCCCACCTCCCCAGGACGTCCCTGAGGCAGTACGCACCTCCCCAAGACAGTAACCTGAAAACGTCCGGACAACCATTCCGACACGCGTACGAAGCCCTCCGACACCAGCCCCATTAAGTACCAATCTCGATCGCCTGTCTCTCTCGATTATCTGCCTCATGCCCCCTAGGTTCTGATGTTCCCTTGTTCACTTCCCGTACCTATTTAAGTAGCTCCGCAACGTCCCCAAGCGCCAGCTTGGTATATTTTGAACACACACCCTTTACATAGGTCCAGTCCCTGTCCCTTTGTACCTGCTACCTATACGGAATTCTCTCTACTCTCTGTTTCTCTACCTCTGTTTCTCTCTACTTCTGTCTATTGTCTCTCTGATCGTCTATACGACCGAATATACGCTTTCACTTCAAGTCTAAGCCTTCCGAGTGAGTCTCCGAGCTCCCTCGAACATTACTAAAGCTCCCCAACGCCTACCCGCTTGGTGAGCTACCCTTCCCCAAACCTCCCAGAGCTCCCTAGCTACTTCGTAAGCTTCGGGACCTCGATCTAGGTAACGTCGAAGCTACCCCTCACGTCGAACTACGTATTGCTTCTCCGTTACCACCTCCCACACTCGAGGACGACCATCCTCAAACCTAGTCCCCAGGGACCTACCCTCCCTGGCAGATCCCTTCTCGGGAGCTTACACCCTCGAGATCCCGTTGCATAAACTACCTACTCGACTCTATATTGACGTTCTAGCGAGTACAACTCCTACTACGCAATATCTTACGGTCCCGCACTCGTCCTGAACCTCCCTGGACCTCCTAGGAACCCCTCAAGGGTCACCATCTCGTCGTTCCAACCACTACTAGGTCATTCCCGTCCTCGGTCGCGGTTCTCGTAGCTCCCTTCGAGCTCCAGCCTGCTCCTAGCACGCTACAACATAAACCTCCACATACCAAAACCTACCCTAAGACCTATTTTGACCCAGGTCTTACACACTGACTGGTTTTGGTCATTCGGCTTTGAGTGTTGGGCTGCTTGTTTTCATTCAATATAATGCCCCCCAAATTCAGGGCAGAGATCAGGTAAGATTCGCTATAAATTCATTGCACGGTTGATTGACATTGTAACAGAGGTCTGGGCTTCTCCGACTTGCTATCGACATGGTCATCTTCATCGGTGCTTTTATCTGCACTTCCATTATGTGGTCAATGATCTGCGTGATCGGAGACTTAGCCAGTGTAGCATTGTCTGTAATCAGGTTGTAGAGTCAGAATTGTGCAATACTCTCAAGTCAATCAGATTTTAGTTGTTACAGTTTATATCTATGTAGCGTTCAAATGCACTATCTATTGAAAAGTTGTGAAATTTAAGAAGGATCATGAGTTGGCAAGTCAAAGACTTCGATTCTCTCGATCGCGCAAGAATAAACTGTATATGATTTAGTCGCACAGTGCAACCCTAACTAAGTTTACAATGGTAAATTACACTTTGCCTTGAGATATTCTGTAGCAAGAATGTCATTTTTGTTGGAAAGACTATTGGCCCTCTGAAATTTCAATCTCCCATGCCATTCCTGACTGGTCATCAAAGCAACTGGCACTGGAGACTTTAGAATTTGGTCCAAACGATTTTGGAACCAATCTTCTGCATCTCTGGACCAGTATCCACAATTTAGGCCACAGGATCGCCAGGAGCCTGAACGAGGCCACCAAGACTTGATCGCGGTTTGTTGTTGACCCTGCTTTGAAACAAAACCTGGATGCAAGGACTTCAGAATTAGATTTAATTCAAAGAAAAAGAGTATGAACCTGTTGCAACCTCGTATGATCCACAAATCAGATCCATCTCCTCGTCGGTAAGCTTATCATCCCAAAACGCATGTATTTGGCCTGCTTCCCAGACACACAGTGCTTGCTCGCCTTCATGTAGGGCATGACCAGTGGGGCCATCGTAAACATCATTCGCATCGACAATGCCTCTGGCTAATCTGGCAATGATACCTCCAGCTAAGAGCGCTGCACGGCCCCTGGCAGAGCGCAAGAAATCGTTGCGAACAAGCTCGTAGGAACTATAGTCTTGCAATGTTGGAACAAATCCAACCGGGCGGAAGCCTAACATTGCAGGCTTACGGAAGGGCATCGAAAGGGACCTATGAGGAGGGTGGCTAGCCATGAGCGTGTTGAAGGGAATCCCTTCTTCGATCAAACACTTCATAATATCCTCAGTTCGAGGACCCCATTTCCGACGTGCGATTTCCATAACGGTACTGGTGCTGCGTAGTGCAATCACATATTCTTCGTTATCTGTCGCATCTTTTGCTTGTATTATAAAGTAACGGCCATTGTATGAAGACAGGGTATCAACTTCAAAGGGAACCGGAGGCCGTATAAGACTCCTAGCAGATAAGTCATACGCATCGGGTGCATGTCGGAGATCTACTGCATCTAGTATTCGTGTGATGAAGTCACATAGCTGTAGCTTGAGATGATCGTCAAGTTTAACTGCTGCGTGATGGCGTCCACAACCGAAAACGCCCAAGACTTTTTTCCAAGCTTGCAATTTGAGTACAAAGTCACGATTTTGTGCAATAGGTTGCTTGAGAAACCCGAACCTGTGGTAAGCAACGTCTTCGACGGCCTCGTGGAACTCTATCGAAGAATGCGGTAACTTATTCAGAGATTGAAGGCGAGTGAGATAGGCCTGAGAGGACATGGCCCCATCATTGTGGTATGTTTCCTCGTTTATATGAGCACCGACAGAAATGAAACCGTCTGAATCATCATCATCGGAGTCATAGCCGTAATCATCGGGAGCATCATTAGGGTCAAAGTCGGTACACACCTCCCATTCATCAGCGACGGAATCATAACGCCTCTGGCGCGACCCATACCTCTCCCAGATATCCTCGTAATTGCTCCTCCCCACTGCTGTCCGGACCCTGTTCCCCTCGACTAAGTCCCAATAGTAAACGCGGGCACCTTTCCTACCAGGAGGCCGATCCTTCTCAGCATTTGCCTCACGTTGAAGACGAGATTGACGTTCAGTGGAAGTCTCAGATGCAATGACTTTGAGTCTATGATCTTCTCTACGCTGAATGAAAGCAAAAAGGCTCTCGTTTGGACGAGGAAGGCTTCCACCATCGATACGAGGCAAGCGCAATCGAGGTTTATAGATAGGAAACTCGCGCGTTAAAAGTTGTTCTATGGACGATGGGGGTGGAGGATAGGGCGTTTGTTGCGAAATTAGAGTGTTTATCATGGCAGAATTAGGTGCAGAAATTAGACGATCTAGCGTAGTGGGGATTGACCAATTATTGATAGAACCCCAGTACAACATCAGGGGCATTTTTGCTTTAAGAAAAACTGGAATCCATGGAAGACAACCAGAAGTATGGGCATCTACAAATGTTCCGACCATCGGAAGATCCAGGATCTGATGAAAATATTCAAGCCACTCTGAACTGATCGAGGTTTGCTGCTGCAACCGCTCTTTCCATTGCCATTTTGTTGGAAAGGGTTCTCTCCGGAGTTTTTCGTATTCCTGTTGCCTTTTACTCAAAAAAGGACTAATGCTAGGCAATCTCGCATTGTGTTCGAAGGCAGATATAACAAGGTCGACCCATTGACTTTCCAGGTGATACAGCAAGTGAAGAAAGAAGGATATGCATGCAATTAAAGGGATAAATGCTTGGCGAGATCGCATGGCTGCATAGCGCGCATCCATCTCCGTCTTCCACCGTAAACGATACCCATAGTTGTTTGGATAAGGCCAAAGTCGAAAATCTTCAGGGACTGCCACATAAACTGAGTCGGAAGAAAAGAGGGATTTTTACAGTGGTTATAAAGGTAAAAACTGTTTAACTCCATTTGAGATTCACGATTCATGAAGAATATGTGATAGATGAACGATCCAAAGGAAAAGAAGCATAGAGAATAGACACGATGAAGAAAATTGAGATGTAGGTCTCCGGGACATACGCGAGGAGGAGCAAACAGAGCGAAGGCTATGGGCCACGAACTCATCTACCCTCTGATAACACGTCTGAGGGATGTATTCTTCTCGACATGGTCTTTAACGTTTTTGCAAAACCTACATCACACCGGTCGTTGAGTTAGAGCAATTACACGAAGGCAATTTAATCTACTCACGCAGTAATAACACGACGAATCGCGATCTCTCTTTCGTTCGCATTGATGTAGCGTGGAAGGGCCTCGAGGAACCTCTCTGGTTCGTACTTTGAATGGAAGAAGATGGCTACGTCTCCTGCGAACTCTTTGTTGTAGCCGTAAGCTTCCAGAGACGTATTCGTTTCGACCGAGCGCTGGTTGTAGGTTCCCGCGACATAATATTTGCGCTTTCCGACGATCACCTTCGCCTGATAGAAGTCGGCATTATAATCGAATTTGAAGGCCCGCTGAACTTCAATGAAACGATTGTTGTTTTCGCGAGAGTTGACAGAAGCAAAACGTTTTTGTTCAGGGAATGCGTTATCACATCCGAAGAATAATCCCAACGTCTTCCCATCGACCTGGCAAATTCAAGTCAATGACTAGCGTGACAGTATCGGATTGCAAAGCCTACCCTATCCTCATCTCGCAATGGCATTATATTGCCGTTCAACAACGGTCCCCACGAAGAATGGATGGAAGCTGCACTTGCGGAGCGACTTGCACTCCTGGAGGATCTGGTTTGTCGACTAGTAGAAGACATTGGAAGTGGCTAGGCTCGACGAAAGCTAATGAGGATTCAATATGAGGAGAGAGTTGTATTGCCTTCCATTTTATAGACAAGACATGTTCTAAGCACGAGTTTGTACCCAAGAAGCTTTGATAGTTTTTTCCATTTTCACTTTTGCCGTATTGTTCTACCCGCGCCTCGTTTTGAATTTTCAAACTCTATAGATGGAAGTTTCTGGTAAAAATGCTCCGGACTCTGATTCATTTTCACCTTTCTATCTAGGTCAGGAAATCAGCCTTAATTTCGAGCCAGACTTGACCTTGGACTGAAAACCGCATTCACAGTTTGACAGTATCGATGCAATGGCCATGGATCATCATGAAAGGGATCAAAAAGCATGTCCTGAAACTAGCTGCTCGACCCTGAAAGAAGCTTTTTCGCCCTTCACCGTCTACCCTTGACTTTCTCTCTTCCTGCATATAAAGCCTCAAATTTTGGTGGGGGAAGACATCTATTTCGAGGTTCAATGTATCTCAGACGATACGTATACCTTTCTGGCCCCACCAATTGCAAGTAAATTCACTGAACCAGGGTCAATCATTGATCAATGGATCATGATCGAATACGCTGATCCGAATGCTAAATTAGTTCCTTTTTAGGAAGTCAGATGGATGAATGGTGCCACTGAATACTTAGTACGATATTTTCTCCTGGATACTCAGGAAGTCTCCAGGGAGCAGTGAACGCTATTTAACAGGAATGATAAAACGAATTCACTGTATTCATTTATTCTAGGGAATGAATTTACTATGGAACATTGGGTGTAGAAACACCTCTATTATTCGTATCTGGAAAACAGATAAAATTAATCCTGGGCCCAAAATACTTGATGGTACTCGAGCGTGTGTCAGGTCAAAAATGCTGTCATACAACCTCATGCCCAATGCTCACCTTGCGGATGTACGCCCCAAAGAAACTTGAAAACATACAAAGAGTCACTCACTTATGTCATACTTCACGTCTTTTCTAACAAATCCGGACTGAAAATCCCCATTCGTATTGTCCTCTCCACGCGCCAACACGCAGGCTTATCGCTTCCGCGATCGATAGAATGTTCTTAGTTCCACTACTTTTACCCTGAAACTTTTCAACAGAATTTAAGATACGCTCTCTGGGTCATCAACTGTTTCTGCGATTGTTCAACTATGACTGGTCCGACCAATACTTCACTCGCACGCGTAATTTTCCGCGAAATCATCCTCGCATTCTATATCACCGACGGCACCTCTACCGATCCGCCACCTCCTTCTCCCGAGCTCGCCAGAGAAATAGAGGAGAATGCGGGGACGTTGATTATCATAATGGGACTTGTATTTTGCTTGTTCCTCGGTCTGGCCCTCGTCATCGAAACTATTGTCGTACTGGTGAGCTAAAGTTACATTATGTATACTCTGGACACCTCAATCAGTCAAAATGCAGATACATTTAACATACGTGTATGTGATCCGCTGGGTTAGAGGTGATGAGCTCAGAAAGAGAGAGCAAGCAGTGGTGACGGAGTTGGATGTTATCCGAACAGCCAGTACATCTGAAGACAGGTTCGACGAGCAGGAGGTAGAGACGGAACTGTTTGTGGGTGATCGCGAGCGAATATAATATTGCGATGTACATGTACATGTCCGGATCCCAGAATTCGAAGAGCAGTGACTCGTGTGTCATGCGAGTGAGATTAGTAGGGCACTTATAAATTATATTTACAACTAGAAACAGTGTACGTGTACACACACGAGGAGTTAGCGTCAAAAAAGTTGAACAGTAAACGCTTAAGACATTGCTGTTGCTGGGTCATGAATGTAAGGACGACGGCTCATCAGGGTTTGCGATCTCGAAAGAATACTGAAATCAATGCTCGTTGAGTATTTATTCTGTTTGAATAATGGCTGCTAGCGGTGAATATGCAAGGCATACGAAAAATACACATGAACTAGAAGCAATATCGAAGCACTGGTATTAGAACTGTCCAAAGTTCCGACTTAATCAGTTCATTGAGATCCCAATGAACCAAAGGACACATACCAGGACGAGCTCTCCCAAATTGACTAGTATCTCTTTGAATTTCGTCTTTGGGGGTGAGTGACCGCCGGATGACAAAAAGACGAGGAAGGGGAAGAGGCGGAGGAAGGGGAAGAGGCGGAGGAAGGGGAAGATGTCACCGGATAAGACATGGATGAAATCTTCTCGGAGTATCCAAGCATCTTCGAGACACTGTCCCTTGACCATTGTGAGGGGAATAACAGCAAGAGTGCGAAGGTTATACCCATTGCCACGAGGATCATACGGCCAACAGTTACAATCATCATAATCTGTATATTGTTTCAGTAACGGAGTCATGGATATGAGAAACGCACCTTACAAGTCTAGGTAGAACTCACAACTTGCTAGTTCCCTTCGCGGGAGTGCCATCGTCTTCATTCCACAGTAATATTTGTGTATGCTGCACACAGTTACCATTGCCAGTGGCTATCATTCGACGACGGGTTGGTACATCAAGTTCAACATATGCCTAGAGTGTGATAAAACAAGGATTAGCAGAAGGAGTCGGGGACAGGTCGAAAGCACTTACTAAGGCGGTCACCCAGGAGCGGTCTCAAGCCAGGAAAAATTAGCGATGGATATATGTATTTTAGGCAGACTCACCCGTTCTGTGCTTCAAAGTTTGGATCCTTCTCCCGTGTTTTGCATCGAATATCACAGCGTATCCCTTCGTCGTACCCATTACTGTTGCTTGACCTTTGTTGATGAACAGAGCAAGAAGAGGAACATTGGATCCAATTTCTTGAACTTCAAACGAGGTACTAATTTTCTTGAAGTCTTGAGGCGTGTTCCTGGACCAATCCAGACCATTGCGTATATTTGTCGCCACCAAAGAAGTTGAGTCTGGGGATTTAGCAGAAGTTCCTCTATGACAGTCCTAAGCTATTGACTACCTCCAGGACGGAGAGAACATACATTTTCTCGTCTGGACCCCAGATACGAGTCGTCTCCCAAGCGTCGATGTTGCACTTCCTAATATACAGGATGTTCAGAGTAAATCTGCATCGAGTGAACATAGATCCCTCACCAAAAACCATGATGGTAGTATGCAATAAGACACTCATTATCACTCTCGAGAAAATGTACGCCTGTCGCTAGAATCGGAGGTTGGGCGAAATTCTCAGTCTCGCCAAACGCAGGACGTGGCAGGCGGTCTGTATATCGCCATGCTCCGGAACCTATGACTTGTATCAAGAAGCATACGAGCATTCAAATAGGGAATAAGTCATACCCATCTTCGAATTCTTGAAGAGTAAAACGTCGGCACCTGAGCAGATAAGAAGATGATCACCGCTCTCGTTGAATTCAATAACTGCGACAGGTGAAGAGGCCTCATGTATGACCTCGTTTGTTCGTCGACGTGGCCACCTCTACGTGTCGCGTTCAGATATTAAATTCTGAATTACCGGAAACACAGAACTCACCAAGGTGGGATAAGAGCAGATAATCCCCCCTCCCTCATCACCAACGAATAGAATGTCATCTCTCCATGCGACAGCAGTGTATGGGTAGGTGCCTTTGTGTTCCCAAATTTTTGACAACCCACGTTGCATGTCGTGAACGCGCACCGTTTTGTCGTCGCTGGCGCTGGCCAAATAACGTCCATCCATCGAAAAGGCTAATGCATTGACAGTACCAGTAGGCAAGTCTATTACACCCATCTTGGTATAGGAGGGGTTCATTGCTCTCGAGAGCACTGTGTCAGCAGCCTTTGTTTATCAGGCAAGTGATTGTTGGACTGAGGAGGATCCGGAGTGAGGATGCCTCTGTAGGATTCCTAGGATTCAGACATCCCATGAGTGTCGAAAACGAGGCGTCACCGAATATCGTTTACGATCCTGGTTCGATCAAAAGGAAAGAAAACAGGGTCCAGAACATGACCTCTAAATCTCGGATCTAATTGTGACCAACTCATTCAAGCCCATCCATTTCGGGGTAATTCAGGACCATGCGATGGCTACACCATTCAATGTTATGAATGTAGCTGTTGTTACTTATCTATGCATGTTTGCAGGGTCACGGAGGGATTCGAAGAATGGTCATGATCATGATCATAATCAAACCATTCTCTGCTGAATGAAAGCTAGGATCTGAGAGATATGGCATACATATGTATAGCGCTAGCGAATTTCGTCATACAAAGATACAGCGATTACGAGAAAGGTATCCGACGACAACCGAGACGCATACTCTCCGTATGTCAGTAAGGAAGCCCGTGAGCTCATGATTCACCATTCCCTAAGTCTGATTTAAGTATCACAATGCATGAGAGGAGAGTCGACAACGTACTAATTCTAGTCACTCCAGTTTTCACAAATATTTTCCTTTGCAGCAACCTATTATTGTCCATTGATGATTTAGATTAACCGAGTATCGCGATGAATCAAAAGAGACTCGACAACATACCACTACTAGTCACTTCCCAATTTCTTGCATATGCAAGAGTTCCGTTTGGAGCAGCCTATTATCCTCCATGGTTTCCTTCAAAGTAGCAACCGTTTGCACGTACAGAGCTTTCTGTTTGGCCAGACGCGAACAAAGCTCTGTCTAACAAGAAGTTAGAGATATATCCATTGAATCAGCAAAAAAATTGCCTACCTCATCGCGTAGTTTAAGGCGCTCTGCCAAAGCATCAAGCTCGAGTCGAAGATTGTTAGTCTCGTCTGAAGCAGCTGCCATTCGCCGCTGCATTTGATTTATCTCGGCGTCTTCACAAGATACACAGCGCACGAGTGAGAAAGACATTATGAGGGGAAAGAGATAAGAGCGCAAGTCCTTATGAGGCTCTTCGAGCTAGGGACTATGAAACACAGTGGCACCTTGAGGAAGCGGGCCCATTGAGGTGAAAATGCTTGAAGGGAAGAAGGGGATTTTGATCCCATTGAGACAGACCAAAACGAACGCGCTTGAAAGAGTGAAAGGGATCCGCAGTCCCATCGAGGTGAAGATTGACCATCCACGGAGTTTGACTCGGTGGTGGTGACCAGTGAAAGCTGTCGAGTTAATTAGTCAACAAACCGTAAAAAATAAATCGGCCCAAAGACGATGATACATCAATAAGCGCCGGTCTGCTCTTTCTCAATCACCCCTTTGACCTGCCTAGCCACCTGGTCCTGGTTTCAAACTAGACACAGGTAATGGCGAATATGAATAAATAAGTCTAGATCTTTGAGCTCCTCAAAGCCTCCATTCATGGCGCAAGATTAATTCAATTCTGCTCCATTGTCCGGTCCCTTTGAATTTGATGTTCAAGTTGTACCGTACGTCTTTTCTCGCTATAAAAGCTGACTCTTGTTTTTAGGGCTTGAACTACGCCCTCGACTTTCGACATGGAGCTAATCGATGATCTCATGAGCACAACTACAGTGACCCTAGAGTCATTCGACCAGAAGTACAAGACTCTCTTCGCGAAGCTGAGTTCTGCAATCGAGAACCAGGAGCGTGAATATATGGACCTTGTGCGCACAGGAAGCTCCGAGAATAATGTATGTCCTTGCATTCAATGCTGCTCCTCTCATACTGACTGTTCCGTCTGAACAAAGGCGCAATCATTCTCACTGCAACCCGAAATTCGCATTCTTCAATTAGTGCTCCTAAAGCTTCTGGGAAAGGTAGTGCGCAACGATATCGGATCGCCTATTCACTGAATTCTACTTAGATCATCATTGGCAAGTACTCAGAACCTTTGGTCAATCTTACGTTGGTGCTTCCAGATGCGGATGCAACCTGCCGCCTACTTTTCGATGCCCTGGAGGATCTTGCCACTCATGTTTCGCAAGCTCGTTACCAGACAAACTCCAAGTTGTTCAACGCGTTGGTATATCGTCAGCGTACTCCCTCTCGAGAAACACAGGTGTGTATCGCCTCAATATGAATGATGTCTAGCCCACTAATATTGTTGTCGTAAACAGGAATACGCCTTGGCGTTTGCACCTCTCCTCGAACAGACTGCAAAAATCTCAGAGATACTACAAAAGCTCAAGAAAGAGGTATGTAAACTCCTTCATTAAGGACCATGTGTACTCATTCGTGCTTAGGTTTCTTTCATCGCAACTATTGCGCGCATTGGAAGCCGTAGGAATAAATAGTATACTACGCAAGCCATGTACAACTCGACTCTGTCTCCACCATCAATACTGGAAGCGTTTGTAGAATCAGTGCTGTAAATAAACGTAGAATAATACTCAGAAATCAAAGCCCCGTTTCCTTTTTTGGTAACTTTGAATAATTTGAATAACCGGCCCGAACGGCGAAGAGCTCGCGTGGTCTGTCTCCCTTCAACTCCAACTATCTTCCTGGATCTACGTACATCTCCAGCTTGTCCTGGTTTTAAACTGGACATAAGCGGTTATATTTACAGACTTTCGCGAGGCGAGTAGAGACTAGTACGACAGACGACAACCCCGGATCTTTGCACCACACCATCCAGCACCCTAAAACTACGTTGATTTTTCCGATAATTATAAGCGATGTCCAGCAAATTTCTCGCATATCGCGCCTATGCTTCATGCATGAATGATTGATCGATAGCTTGATTCTCCCACAGGAATCTCAGAAACTATCGTCCACTTTCTTTGGTCTTGGAGATGCGAGTTCCCGTCCTCTTTAGTCTTTCGACCAACACTGTGGACATTGACCGTTCGAGCGATTCTGATTCTTCCAGGACCATGGATTCATACAATACTCCAGGCAGTGTGCCTCAGAGCCCGAGTGATTCTGGAGAGGACGACCCGATGCCGCTTGCGCCACTGAACCCACAAACAATGCCTCAAATGGCACCCCAGGTTCCACAGGGCCACTTCCATACTCAATCACCACATCCGCCTCAGACCCCACCTCCGCAGACTCCACCTCCGCAGACCCCACCTCCGCAGACCCCACCTCCGCAGACCCCACCTCCTCAGACCCCACCTCCGCGGTCTGAAGATTTTCAGATGGACGATGTCAGTGCTACTCCTAGAGCCCCTCCAGATATGACTCCGAGAGCCCCAGGCCCCAGAAACCAACCAATAATGCAGGTGTGTAATCAAATTCATATTTTTATCTGAGGAACAAGATCACTCATACATCTGCTAGCAACCACCGTCGCCCACTATCCAGAAAGGCAAAAGAAGGAGAGTGCATGATCCTGAGCCTGGTCCCTCCCAGTCCAACGACAAAACTCCTGGAGCCCAGCCCACTTCTCACACCGGAGCCCAGTCAAATACCCAATCTAATAGCCAGGGCCCCGTAGACTATGTAAGTGTGCAATGTAATTATGTGCATATAATACTATTAAACTATATCTATCTAGTTGCAAGCTCTGCTTAATCATCAAACAAAGACGATGGGGGAGCTGTATCATCATTTGCAAAATTCAACCGCAGAGATACTTAAGAAACAAGACCAGGTATTGCAGAAACAAGATCACAAGATAGATAAGGTGGTAACCCACCTAGCGCAGAACACAGAGATACTCGGCCGAATTGGGGAGACGTTAGATATGTTATCGGGAAAGAGCAAACACAAAGGGTCACCGGGTCATCAGGACGAGGGAGATAGTGATAGTCAGAGACATGGATCCGGAAGTAACCAAGGACCCCAGCCTTCTAACAACGGTGGCGCCGCGGCAAAGCCTAGTGACGGTGGAGCTGCGGGAAGCACCACGAATCGCAACAACAGCAATGGCGATGGCGAGGATGGGGACGACGAAGGAGAAAATGGCAATCCCTTCTTCCGTTATGCTAGGAAAAAGCAGCCTGCTCGCTCAGGAGGGGTCAAGCATCGACCTGCTGAAGAACTGAAAATCAAGGTATGTACTTACTTGCATTATGTGTTTCAGCTTATCCAAAGGTCCTCAATATAGGAAACGATGCGGAAATGGTTGAATGAAATAATGGAAGGCCAGGATCAGCTCAAGGAGACAGTCTCCCAGGACGAGGCTGATGAATTTACTCTGCTGTTCAAAACGAATCCGCTTGCACGCCCTTGCTCAGTCGACAATTTTCGATACTGGATCGCGGGTGGTCCCAAATCGGCGTGGAACAAGGGTGCTTCATATGTCTTTGTAGAAATTCTTAAGAAGAGGAAGTTGATTGCCACACCCGATGTTCACACTCGTGATGCTATCCGCGAAGCTTTCCTTTTACGACTCAAAACAGTTCATGCATCTTGGATGGAAAGACAGAAAATGCAGGAGGACAACAAAAATCCTCGCTCTCTATTTTCCAAAAGGTGGCAGCGGAAAAATACCGTGAGTCACTTCCTATTGCCTATTGAACACACAAACTCACACCCCAAAAGCTGTTCCATCGTCGAAGGGAGGTCATCATCACCTTCCACTCGCTTGAGTCCTTCCTCTCGTTCTTCGATGAGCTAGGCGTCGCAGGAATGTCCTCTGACGATGAGGATCCTGGCATGAAGAAACCGCAAGTGCAATACATCATCAAGGGGCCGAAATGGCGAAGCGTCGAACTCATGAATTTACTCAGGTTGTTGGACTACTGCCATCTTGAAGGTCGATGCACCACTGAAGCAACCAGATTCGGATATACACGAGGGGCTCCTCCCCGAATCCGCATTGATAGAAACGATCGAAGTTCGAAGACAAAATACGTCTCTGGCCTACCTGCAAACTTTTATGATGCTCAATGGCTCGAAGAACAAGAAGCTGGATGGGCTAAGGGCGGAAATGGTTTTGTTAATGAATTCGTTCGTCCTCAAAAGCCCATCAAACTCATTTTTCCTGCGGACCTTTTGAAGTGCGTATTACTGGTTAGGAACTTAGATCCTATCTCATTCTTTTTAAGGACATTGAAGGAGCGAGGATACCCCAGGGCGCAAGATCCAGAGTAACATCTCTATTAGTGCACTGGTCTAGCTGTACAAGAAATCCATGTATTGTATCAAATCAGATCGTAAATGTACATCTTTGCATCTACTTGAGAATACCTATAACTTAAGCGGCGAAAGTGCGTTGGCATGTTCTGAAGATTACCTTTTACGAGTATGTGCACTTTTGGATGATAAGTAACATTATAAACATTCGATTTATTAGCTCTGAATTTAGACAATCGGACATGTACAATGATTAATAGTACACAATACAACTATGTACATTTCATTATGAAAATTTTCCTTGAGTCACCCGGTCCAGTTCGTTGAGGAACTGAGTAATATGAGGGCTCCGCCACGATAGTTTATTGTACACATGAATGACCATTTGACCTTCTATATCACTGACGTCGAGTCTCACATCACTGTTCAATAGCGGCACGGTCTAAAGCATACCCAAAACGGAGGACATCATGGCGAGAATATCATGAAGTAAGTTATAACGAACCTTAGCAATCTGCGCAGTTTTCGAAACATCCCGGAGCAAAAACAATGAGAAAATCGAATTATTGTTTTGGGATTAGAAGCATACATCTCGGCGTCCAATCTTCTCAGTTTCCTCACGTGAACTTTCGTGGAATACCTCAGTAGCAACAATAGTTTTCTGACGAGGCTCATAAGAAAAGCAGGTCGGTCGAAAAAATTAGTTCTTACCTCGACCGTGAAAGTTTTGAGTGTGTTCTGATCCATTGTTAGTTGTTTGTAAGAGTCCTGAGCGAACACGAGTGGGCAAGGGCTGACAATCTTATGAGCCTATTTACCTCGTGAAAGCAGATCGCAGGTAGAGGGAGGGTGTCAAGTCCTGGGATGCAATGCATATGCGAAGGTTTGATATATATACGCTTGCTCCCACCACGTGGATCGCAGCGATATCGATTACAGTGTACATGTCGCGATTTGTATCACGAATCATGATCATTTGTGTCGTTCTGCCGTACGAGCAAAAAAAACGAGGTCAATAGAAGGAAGGAAGGAATATTAAACGCCTTGGTCCAAGATCTGAACGCCGCACAGTCCGGGGAGTATCCTAGCGTGGCACCTCACCATCGTCCCAAGGCAGGACTTCGACGAGCTCGCACCTGGCTCTGGAGCCGTTGCTGCAGACCTAGGCCCCACCCCAAACGCCCGTCTATCGTTACTAAACCTGTTACAGGCCCAGATATGAGAAAGTTCGTTGGTGGCTTACTTTTCCCCAACAAAACTTGTCTTCCAACGATAATTCCAACCGTGATCCATGTACAAGCTACGACTATAGTCCACAGGCCGCTATCTCTCAGTCGGGATACGCTTCTTCCCCAATCGCACTAAGAACGTGGAGGGGAGTGTCGATGTTGTCGATGAAGTTTCTGTTGGGGTGTTGGATCCTGGTGTGCGGGAGCAAGAGTTATCGGCCTTGGAGTCAGAAGAATGAATGACGGAAGAGAGGGTGGTGGAAATGCAGGCGCTGTCGATGCAGCCGGTCGAAATCACAAATTCCATGTGCCCGAAATCTGACGCGTAGGAGAGGGAACTCCCAGTTCCAGAGCCAGAGTCTTCCCTAGAAGTTCCGCCGACATTGTCTTCTTCGATTGTCCATGAGATTGCCCCAGCGCTTTCTCCCTCCTCATACGTTAAAAGACATTCATTTGTTCGAAGGAGTTTCGGCGATGTACATGTGGGGCATCAGACGTTACAGAGGGTGTAAATGGTGGCGGCGTCGGCTGGTGTCGGTGGAACCTACAGAGTGGAATTTTGGGGCACAGAGCAGGCTGCGATCTAATTGCGCCTATGCACGAGTTGTACTCGAATACAAGACGGTCTAGGGACGAACGAAAGGATCGTGTATTATAACGTAAGGTAATTAAGGAAAGGCCTCACTAGTCATGTGACATTCAACTCACCTCTATCGCTTCGCTCATGATCAAACTCAAACTTGGCACCACCTACGGAGTCGAACTCGGTAGCGGCCAAAGTCTTAGCTCTACAACAACTGTGGCCTTCTAGGTCATCGTGGACTTCTACTGGAAAAGGCACTTCGCAAACTTACATGCTGTCTAAATTTTCAGCTAAATTGGAACGAACACTAGGAAGGCGGGTTGGGTGACATCTGGATCGCCAGTGGAACTGGCAGCGACGTATACTTTTTGAGGTTTCAATTTGGATCTTTGCCTTTAGCTTTGTTTCATTCAAATGTCGCGCTTTCGTTCAGGCTTTTCATTCTGTGTATCACTAATGC